GTGTATGTGAGTGTGTGTGCGCGTGCGTGTGTGTGTGCGACTTATGCAAGCCCAGCGCCGCCCTGTTGCCTGTGTGTGCGAGCCCTGTCTTTTATGCCATTGGCATTGCACCAGATACATTCTGAACTGATACAACATTTTTAATGCATGAGGACCATTTCCAGATCCAGATTCGTTTAGAATGTCACATAATTTAGCAACGGCCATCATCTTGGATCCCACAAGAGAGTCGGGGGCCCTTGCCTCTCTCTTTTTTTTTTTTTTTTTTAATATCACGATTTATGTGTGTCATCCTTGCGTAGGGGGCATGCTAATCTTCTCTGTATCGTTCCAATTTTAAGGGATGGCCCGAAGGACTTGCATCCTTTTTTTCCCTTGGATCCCACACAAGAGTCGGCCTTCTTTTGAAATGAAAACTACACGGTGTCCAGTTTTAAATTTGCAGGAATAACAGGGGACTGCAGGTCCCGGCGGAGGGGAGTTTGAAACTGCAAAAAAAACAGCTTTGTGGACTTCTGCCCAGTAAAGTTTGAAGGTGGCAAAATGCCATAAATCAGGCGGCCACTGGTTGTTGCTATTTTTTTGAGTTTTTTTTTTTTGTTGTTCATTTCCGAGGAGGCCACTCCCGTGGTTGGGCCACACCCGTGGCTGGGCAACAGTTGAGATGTCTAGGCACACGCCCGTGGCTGGGGCACAGCAAAAAGGGGTCTCGTCGCGTGGCTTGGCCACTGATGACACGTCCAGGCCACACGCAGAAAGAGGGAAAAAAAAAAAAAAAGAGGCTATGGTCGTGAAAGCAGCTGTAGGGAAACAACAACAACCTCCGCTCCTTTTTTCAATTGTCACGGAAGCCCTAGCAGCACTGATCCGGGCGAACCCAGCCATAGATTGTATACCCATCCCTAAACTCCAATCCCACTTAATTCGGGTTACCTCCCTGTTCGCAGACTACCTCACTGTTTTAATCAAAGCCTCCACCGATAGTATGAAAGCTCTTGCTGACACAAGCCATATTTTCTCCATCGCAGTGGACAGGAAGGTAAACTGGGGATCCAAAACAGAAGGACGGTGGCTACACGAAGCGGGCCTACCCCCTCCAGACGACCCCCCGTCAACTGTCGACCGAAGGAAGAAGCCATCCGGATGTTGGGAGTGCGGCTCACAGCAATGGGCCCACCCAAACATCACAGAGACCGCTTGATCCACACTGTCATCAAAGCAATGGCCAAGTGGAAAGGTCTCCACACCTCTATAGTAGGTAGGGCTTTAGCCATTAACAATGTTGTGTTGTCCACTATCTGGTATAAAATAGCGTTTTGGGCTCTTCCCCCACCCCAACTTACCTACCAAAAGGAGGCAATAACTGCCTACCTGTGGAGAAATAACCACGGACTGTGGGCATGTATCAAACGGATGGTGTGGGCCCAGATAGCCCTGCCAAGGAACAAAGGAGGCCTTTCTTTTTTTTTTCTTTTTTTTTTAACAAAAAAAAAAACCTTCAGTGTTAGTGATGCTGATAAGAGCAGACACCACTAACGCCTGGGGAGCGGCTCCGTTCCATTGGTGGGGAGCTGCACCTGCTGGAAACCGGGTCCAGCGTCCCTTGACATCTTAACACTTAAAAGACAAGGTTCAGCTCGTGCTGGGAACCGGGCCCAGCATCCCTTCTGTTCATAAGACCTTGAGTATCAGGATAGAACGAGATTGGCTTCTGTGCCTCTTCACCCTGAACGGGCGCCGTATATGCGTGGCCACCTAGCACTTGCAGCCTACTTGATTGAGAGTTAAACCTCATAGTCTGCCTGTCAAGGAGAATACTGGCATGAAGATTAGTATTTATTCTGAGTCAAGCGTATACCATGATCTGGGAACCAAGGCCAGACCTGCAGGAGGGAAAAGATCTGGAAACTGTGATAGTGGTCTCATTGGAATGATGCGGTCAATGTTACTCCAATCATTGAAGATTAAACGGTAATTCCTTGGAAGCCCATCCTGATCACTGCCTTGTATTCCTTCCCATTTCACTTGCCCCAATTTTCCTCCTTGGTCCCCTCCAAGCCAATTTGGATTGAATGTTTGGATGTGATGCTTAATATCCTTTACTGAATTCAGAAATTTTAGTTTCTCCTTTAGGGACTCCCATCTGGTAGTAATTTCTACTTGGATTTGATGTTTGATGGTTTCTAACTTTCTATAAATTCTGGACCATCAAAACGAGCACTTTCCATCTCGTAAGTACATCTACGAGTCCATAATGCCCAGATGACTGCTCTTCTTCCAATTGTGAATAGATTGGATGTGAAGTTATCCACTTGAATTGGGTTCCAGGACTCGAGGAGAAGCGCTTTCCAGTTCCATGGCCAGGGGAGGGATGTTCCTACATGATTTCAAATCCTATCCCACCAACGCCATAGCCATATAGATCCTGGACATTGCAGAAAAAATATGTTTTATAGTTTTCAGAATTAGTTTAGATAGGAATGCTGATTTGCAGAACGTACACCAAGGCAGGGCTATTCCTCTTTGTTCAAGTGAGGTTTTGTTAATAATCCAGTCATTTGTGGGTAAGCAACGATGAGTAATTTGCCACTGTAGTGATGTCATTTTAGCCGGTCTAGCTTTAATGGTATGGAAACCACTTTACTGGTCGCAACTCTTCTTTACTTATATTTAGGTGCCTCATCCATCGGTCTTCTATTTTGTCCTTTATATTAACCTTGGGGCGAAGCATCCTGTAAGTGGATTTGACTGACACTGTATGAAGCATTCTGGTGTGAGAGCATCCTTTGGCAGTCGAAGATGACCAAGACCAATAAGCCAGATCTAGGGGAAAGTGGGAAATGGGAGTGTTTGGTTTATAAGCCAGCCATTTTTCTTGGATTATTAGGACCCTGATCCTAAATAGACTATCTTTTTTGAACCATTCTGTTTGCTGATGTGGTCTTGTTCTTAGGTAACCATCCTCTCCCAGGTCAAATAAGGACAACCAAATGTCTCCTGTAGTTCGGACTTCTTCCGCCTTTCCCACTAATTCTGGTTGGTCTGATAAGGACACCCAATCACGTTGAATTAGCGTGGGCCCTTTTCTCACGATTCTGACCCATTCCAGTGGTACTATATCAATTATTTGTTCCAGGGCTTCTTTCTGATTGTGACAGTATCTTAGTCTTTCATGAAGGATCGACACATCAATCCTGTCTCTACCCTCGGTATTCCAGATGTCCCTAATCCGTGTAATTCCTCTTTTGATCCACTCTTTCCAAGGTGAATGTCCCATGGCTTCCCTGACTCATATCCAGCTAGCTAACCTCACCCTACAAATCCTGGAGGATAAACCGATTCACCCCCTGAGATGGCTCACAAATCCTTGTTGGTCCATCCCAGCAACTGTAAGGACAAGAGACGTGGACTCCCATGCAAAAGCAACGAAGGCTGATCTGGCCAAAGACCCCCTATGGATAGCTCTCACTAAGCTCTGGAGAGACATTGGCCCCCACAAGAGCCCGCCCCCAGGAAGATGGCATGAAGTCTCACGACAACCATGCTTTGGGAATCTGGCCCTGGAACCTACAACCACGGTTCGGTCAGGTCACCCCCAAGCCTGGAGGGTAGCGATCTTGAGTGGTAGACACTGAGGTAGGATAGTGGGAGTAGGAGTGCACCTGGAGAAATTACAAAAGAGGTAGGTTGGGATGGAGTCCTACAGGATTAGGGGGCCTCTACCACATGGCCGAGTGCTGAAGGTGACTCTCATATGTCTGTAATCCAGCCTGGGCTTTATAAAAAAAAAAAAAAA